TAATTTTACAGAAATATCAATTAAATAGTTGAGTTTTATAAGTATTGAGAGAAAAAGTGAACATTTTCTAAATAAATATTATTTTTTAATATTTGTATAACAATTATTAGTATCACATTTATGATCTCTGTTGGAAGTTGACGCGAACAAAGACAAATTACATTTTGACAGTTATTTGTTTTTAATTATCTATGTGTTTATAATACAATCATAACAACAAATTCGGAGTTRTATTACATATTGTTTTGTATGAGTAGGGTATCCCCGTTTTGTGCAGATATAGGTAGGTAATGTACTCGGAGTATATAAGCTACTGAATTTGCCAACAGAATCACATTCTACAGTCTATCATGGCTCTCCACACATCATTGGTAAGTACTTTTATTAAATAATAAATACTAGTTTCATATCGTATACTTACAAACAAAATATTTCTTAACACTTACATTTTTTTTTTTATAAAAGTCAATTTTTTCTTACCTATAAATTTACTGAACAGTTTTCTATAAAACTAAAAATTAATCACAAACTTAGAAATCAAGACGACATTATTATAACCATTCTTATACTCGTAAAAGTCATAACTATTTTAGAACGAGTTATACATTTTTATTGCAATGGGTACAACATACAGTATTCGGAATAGGAAACAATACATAAATATTATTTTATTTCAATTAATATTATTAAATTATGTATTTCATTGTTATAATGTTCCTAAAATATACCCGTTAAATAAAACGTCTTTAATATCTTATGCACGTAGATTTTAAACTCCACAATTGACTAACAAAATAACCTACCAACTGATATCCGTACTATAGGTATATACCAAGTTAGATTTTGTGTCGATTCTACAATTAGATATAGTATGATATTGAGTTACAGAGCAAAACTTACTTTTATATATGAAATTGAAATAAATGAACTAAGTACCTACATGTTTTTAAATTTGTATTTTTATAGGTGTTAGTTTCCGCTGCTTGCCTCATAAGCTGTTCTGTGACGGGTACAGAACTGTCCAAGACCACAGAACTGAAACCGGACACGAAATCTGAAAATACTGATGAAGTGACTGCGAAAAGAGTGATTTTCGGTGCAATACACCCGATCAACCACGGTGCCGGCGGTGGCAGCGGTTACGGCTCCGGTTCTGGCCATGGCGCAGGYGGCGTAGGAATAGGCGTAGGTTTTGGTTCGGGTGGTAGTGGTGGTGCGGGTGGAGGTGGAGGTGCCGGAGGAGGTTATGGCATCGGTGGCGAATCAGCCAACAGTAACTACGGAACTGGTGTCGGTTATGGACAAGGAAGCGGATCCGGCGGTGCTGGTTTTGGGCTAGGAAGTGGTTCTGGTGGTTCCGGTTATGGACAAGGAA